ATGGTAGTATGGAAGTGTTGTAAGACTACGGGGAAACCGTAGCAGTCACAAGGTTGATAGGCAGTTGTAGGAGTGTTGTAAGAGTATGGGGTAGTCGTAGCATACACAAGGATGGTAGGATTTCAGGGAAGTGTTGTAAGTCTGTAGGGTAGTTGCAACATTCACCAGAATGATGTAGGCCACAGTAAGAGTGTTCGTTAGGTTGCAAGAGGATCAACATATGCCTGGATCGAGGCGAACAGTATTATTGGAGGATTTCTCCTTGTTACGGGAAGAGGACCAATAGATCTGAGGCAGGGTTTGGCATGTATAGAACTCGATTGGGTGAGACCAGTGGGCATGGTCTGTTCGATTGTGCAGAATGGGTGAGACCCATGGGCGAGGCCAATATGGTTATGATAGTGTGGTTGAGACCCGGTAGAGATTGGTTGGAGAAAGTTATTAGATTACGCTCATAGTGGGATGACTCTATGGTTAGTGATTGGTATCAGTATGATATATAGTCTAGGGTAGACTTTATCAGTTAGACTCTCAATAGGAACCTGGTAGTTGGACCGGGTGTGAGAGTGTCAGTCTCAGTGTTGGATTAGGAATTTTAAATCTCAGTTTAGTGGAAGGTTACCTTGGAATCAGAATATTTCGGATAAAATGTAAGTGTAAATCTTTGGACTTCGGGATATGAGTTATGTATCGTGTTGGAAAATGGACGAGACTCGCTTTGGAAGTCGTCTTTGTATATATAAAATATCTTTTCATCAGCAAGTTATGGTTATGGAATCTGTCTGCTAAAGGTATCAGTTGGATAGTTCCAGATCAAAAGGATGTTTTCAGTTCAGATTGCAGTAAGAGGTCCTAGTAATGGTGTTCCAGGATGGTCCTACCTGTATGGAGGTCATGAAAAGTTTTGGAGTTTCTGAAATTATAGCAGTGAGGTGTTTGTTTGTCAATTATTGTGTCAATAATTTGTTCACCATTATGGGTATGAGTTCTGTTAAGTTTGGGTTTCGATGGTAGATTTGGAGGGTCGATAAGAGTATGAGTCAACCTTTCCGGCGATTCAGGGAATCAAGAGGTATTGGTCGGAGCGTCTAGTTGTCTAGAGGGTGGTAAGGAGTGATTTTGAGGACAAAATCTAATTTAAGTGGGGGAGAGTAGTAACACCCTGTTTCGAATCGTTTCCTAATTCAGGGTCATGACCCGAAGATCAGTTATCGTAAGGCTTTAGGCCTTGGGGAAAGAGAGATTTAGACCCCTTATGGATGTGGATAATGGAGATCAGGTGATCCGAGAGTTCGGTTTGTGTTTTGTAGCCCATGGGAATAACCGTAAAGTGTTAGTTCGGGTCTTTTATGAATTTTGGATCTAAGTTCGGAATATTTTAAGGCAAAGGAGAGTTGATAGGGTTGTAGAGATTCTCATTACCTTTACGTGGATATAAGGATCATCGAAATCAGACTTAGAACGAAGAAGTTTTGGCTTCAGAAGTTTGGTGGTTTTAGGGCTAAGCCTAGTACGCTAGGCGTACAAGGAGTATGTCGGGCGTACTAGGATGGTGGATCGCGAAGCGACCTTGGAGTGCGCGGGGTGTACCAGGAGTACGCCGGGCGTACTCAAGTCACGTGCAAATCCTAATTTAGGGTCTTGGACCCTATTTAAAGGCCTTAGCTTAGGTGCAAACCATATTATCTTTAGCCTCCATCAACCTTCACCCTAAAATCGAAACTCTAGCCTTCATTTAAGCATTCTTGAGGCTTTTAGAGTGATTTGGAGTGTTTTGGTACACATTGAAGAGGAAGGAACTCATTGGAGAAGTTTTGGTTAGCTTGGAACTTGTGGATCCAGAATTTGTGCATCTTGATCTATCTTCTGTAGGTATAAAGTCTTAATCTTGATGGATTCTCATGTAGAACTAGTTTGGGTGGTATTGTTATGTTTTGGTCCCTAGATTGTAATTCTTGTGAGTAGAAGTTACTCCAGAACTTTTGAGCCTCATATTTGGTCCTTATTGAGGTCATTAAGTCATAAAGTTTGGATCTTGATGAGTATTATGCTCTCATGCAAGAATTGGTGACCTTTTTATGAAGTTAGGAAGCTTGGATTGAGGTTTGCACCCCATTAAGCCATGCAAAGTCATAAAGTCAGGAACTTTATGACTTAAGACACCCCTTAAGGGGCAGATATGTGTTTGGGCATTTTGGTCTTAACCATTAAGAGCTTAATATGAGTTTTGGCCCTCTGATGAGTACGTTGGGCATGCTTAGGCATACACTCAGCTTAATGCATGGATTCCTTGTGTTACGCTTCGGCGACATGTATGTTGTGTAGCGGCGGGCAGTACACGGGGCGTACTCTCGAAAGTTCATTTTGGGCATTTTGGGCCTTGGGGCTTTTTGGAGGTTGGGCCATGGATTATTGGACGAGATATGGGAAGGATAAAATGGTCTTTTACCCATTGGAAAAATAAAATTGGACCTTGGATTTTGGGAGTTGCCTTAATTATTGATTTAGATATTTTGTTATGATCAGTGTGAGGTTTCCGGTAGCAGCAGCACGTACATCTCGGTTATCTCGGATTGAGGTGAGTATCCTCACTGTACCCGTGGGTCGGAGGATCAATGTCGGCCCACTAGGATATGTTATGCTAGTTGTCTTTGTAACTCTTTCATGGTATGTTGGGCTAGGCCCATTATATGACGGTCTAGGCCCATTTGTATGCTAGGTTGGGCCCATGAATCAGAAAGGGCTAGGTTCAATGTATGTTATGTAGGATGCTAGCTATCTTTGTGACTCTTGTATGGTATGTCAGGCTGGGCCTATTGTAGGCTAGGCCCATTATGGTGGGATGGGCTTAATGTGAGGGCTAGGCCCAATAGTATGTGTGGTATGTGGTATTTTGAGGAACTCACTAAGCTTTGTGCTTACAGATTTTTTATGGTTTTGGTTTCAGGTACTTCCGGTTCGAAAGGGAAGGGTCCGGCTTGATCGCAGCGCATCCACCCACGTTTCCGCAACTTGATGATTTTGGGATTATACTCCGATAATTGTTTTATTATGATATACTTTTGAATGTTTGGAAAAAGATAATTAGGGTTTTTGGTTGAATTAATAATGAAATTTTTACCTTATAATTTTTTTGTTACAGAATGTTCGGTAGAGATGGAGGCTGAGAATGACTAAACGCTAGGGGTTAGTGCCCTTAAATATTAAGGCCTGTATCCCGAGGCCTAGGGTTTGGCCCATTAGGCCAGGGGCGTCGCGCATAACTTAAGGCAGTCCATGCCTAAGCACACCACACCCTCCAAAAACACGTTGTGCCCATGAGAAAACCCCCACACCTAAGTAGTATGTTGTTATTATGTATAAAATTGATTATAAACAAAAATACATTGTTATTATGGTTTAAAATATAAGTAGTTTGTTGTTAATATTGATTAAAATGATAATAAACAAAAGTACATTGTTATTATGAATTAAAAATTAAGTAGTGTGGTGTTATTATGGATTAAATTGATAAGAAACAAAAACACATTGCTATTAAAGTTTAAAAGTTAAGTATATTGTTATAATTATAAACTAAAGCACATTGCTATAATAAATTAGAGTACATTACTAGTATAGTTTAAAAGTTAAATACATTGTTATAGTATACTAAAGTACATTGATATTATAGTTGAAGTATCAAATTGTGTTACCATATTTTAGTTTATAAGGTTGCATGAGGAAGTTTCTAACATGCGATAATTACTACAACAAATTCAAGATCAAATGACAATGTTTTTGAAATAATGGAGCATGCCCGATAATCAATATCGTAATCCACTCGATAATCTACCCAATGATATTTCTTAGTTTTTAAGAAAATTGACAATTATGTAAACACTTGGTATTGTTTTCTTTTGTGTTATTTCTTAGCTGGTATGGAACAATTGTGTAAAACTTAGTATTGGGACACTTTTTGTGTATTTTGACACTTTAATTGTAATGTTTAGCTAGGTTTGTGTTTGAATATGAATATATTCAACTTTTGAGTATTAGTTTTTTTGAACATACTGACACAAAAAATGGAAATTTTAATGTTATACATTTAAAAAAAATAATAAATCGTAAATACTGACGGATTATTGACGGTCGTGGACAAAATGAGTAGTTTAGGAGTAGATTTTAATGGGTGTGTGTGTGTGTGTGTGTTAGTCGTTCAAGAAAACTAAATCAAAGAGAGTCAAACATGGTTTGTTGCTAAAGCGTAGCTAATCCGTCAATAAAAGCATGTTGTCGGTATTCAAGTCAAACACAGTCAAAGAGGCGTCTGAAAGCATAGTTGATCCGTCGGTAAATTAGCAACTGAATTGGTCGTTGATATTTTGTAGATTGATTTTCGTTAATCTGTCGATACATATTACCCACAACCTTAAACTCGACGGCCTAGATTCCGTCGACAATCCGTCGGTACAAGCTATCACCGACAGAATATCGGCGGATTATGCTGTCAGTATTTCCAAGTATTTAGTGTGTATGACCGTAGTGAATGAGGTGTAACGAAACTCTTTTAAAAGCCAACATCTCAGTGTGTCGTTTTCAATTAGAACATCCACAATAATGAGTTCAATGAAAAAGTTGAATGATGTGACATGTCTAGTTGTTATTCAATGGATGAAAATCTATAATTGTGAGATAAAACATTGACATTCAACGGATTTAAAGTTCAATGACTATTGAACTATTTACCGGGAAAAAAAGAAAGTTTTATAATTCTTAAATAAATATTATAAATTAGTTTTGGTTATATTAGCTAAATGTATTGTAAGAAAATGTTGATAGAATTGTATAGAATATCAAGAATTATAATGTTTCAATCTAGTGAATTGTATAGAGTTCGTATTATGAATGCCCTTACAGGTTTCTCATTTTTTTATTTTTCATGGTCTTGATAAAGAGAAAATTTTACGCAACTGACAGCAGACAAGACTAGGAAAATCACGTTACTAACAAATGAATTCTTCCATCTGATACTAAATGAAACTACATTTTTACCTTACAGAGGAAAACTTGGTTACGTCAGTGAATGTTGAAACTACTAATTGGACATTTGAACCATGCAAATTAACAAAGCAAAAATCACTCAAGATGGTATAGACCAGCCTATATGAGCCTTGAAAATTCTAGCTACATGGGCCCAATACCGCATTTATTAAACTTTTAACCCAAGAATTTATTGGTTAAATTCAGCTTGTTAAAATGCGCTTTAAGAACAACCAAGAACCTCTTACATGTATGGAGTATGAGGCTGCTATTTCTCTTCAGCAACTGCAGAATCCCAACCATTCTGTCGATATACACAATTATTATACACAGGAGTGATACCCAAGAGTGCGCATACATCAAACAGTAATGGTACAATGCTACAACGAGTAAAAAAACAGAAAATCACTAACTGCATACCTTTAAAATTTTGCGAACCTCTCCATATATATACTTTTCCTTCATGCTTGCCCCTCGGTTGTTCAGCGTGTCAGGATCGGTTAGAAGAAGAGATTTATGGTACTCTTCATCTGTATCTGCAGTGCTCCACAGACCTGGCAGGGAGACCGGTTCCCAACCACTTTCGGGTCCAAGGATCTGTAAGTTCAAGATTTTAGTTATAAAAATCTCGTTATCTAAATGAATCTAAGATATGCATGATGTTCATCTCTGTTGTACACTTGTATCAAAAGTACATTATGTAAATAGGATGATTGTATACATACATATTGTAGGTTTGAGAGTAGATCACCCAAGCACCGTTCTCTTCCCTTTGACCACCTTTTGATATCATCATCATGTTGTTCGCCTATACGGTCAATTGGTTAACGAAAAGCTCTGCAAAATGCGGTTCAATCAAGATGATGACAACTTCTTACCTAGAATACGAAGCTGATCTCCCTCTTCAGATATCTGTTTTTCTTTAATAGCTCTCTCTTCAGATTTGAAACTCACTAGACCCACCTGTTCACATACATTAATTATTACACAAATTAATTAAGGAGTAAACCCAAGAGTGCTCATACAAGAAACTTAACATACATGAATCGTACGTATACTGCATGCATATATACCTTTAACATTTCGATAACCTTACTGCATATATACTTTTCCCTAGTGCTCGCCCGTCGCTGTGTCAGCCTTTTAGGACGGATAAGAGAAATAGCTTTCTTATAGCTTTTCCGTACAGCATCAGAGTCGATCATATCTGTCGATGAAACCGGTTCCCAATAACTTTCAGGTTCAAGAATCTGCAAGTTCAAGAATTTAGTTAAACTATCAAACCCAAGTCAACAAAAGTCAACAAAAAATGCTAAAGATAAAAATAGATAATGGTGATTAAGATGGACATATGGCCACTTTTGGAGAAACATAGGGTGATTAAGAGTTTGCATTCATTGTCATCCTGATCCGTTAAATTTAGTGGGTTTGAAGTATTTTCTTAGTATACATAAATAGATTTTATATGTTGTAGTAAAAAATATGAGATGTATCAAAAAAAAATATATATGTGATGTCTTTCTATTTTAATAGAAGAATAAATTTTTTTGTCATCTACTTGTCGACTGATTTTTCATTTAAAATTTTAAAATTTAAAATTTTTTATTCTATTTACATTAAATTAATAATATTATAATAAAAATTAAAATAAAATTAATACAAATTATAAGGTGATATAATTTCACATATTTATTTAAATCAACGATTATAATTTTATATAATTAAAAAAATATCTCTTAATTAATAATTTATTTAAAATAATTGATTAATAAATTTTAACTTTTTACTATAAAAATTTAATTAATTTTGTAACATTGGTTTCCACAAATGATAAAATTTTTATCTACGATCTTTGTTCTATAACTACCAACAAAAATCTTTTTTATCTTACGGAATCTAAAGATAAGTAATTAAGCTGAAATATTATCTTCCATATAGCTATTAGGCCGGACGGAGTGGTGAGCGGGGAGAGGTGCGGGACGTTTCCCGCACAGGGGAACACCGCACCGTGGGTGCGGGAAGGCTAGCGCGGGAAGAGGGTGGGGGGTGGGGATCCCGCATTCTCACTCCTCACATGATTGGTCCGTTTATTTTTTTTTCTTTTCTTTTTATCTTTTTTAATATTTATAAAAATATATACTTATTATAAAAAATATAAAAAATATATCAAAATTCATGGTTTTTAATTCTCTACAAAATGAGTATAATATATGTATAAAATATATTAAAAAAAAAGTGAGGGAAAGGTTTCCCACCCATTTCTTGGCTTTTTGGTGAAGGAAAGGAAAGTGAGGGAAAGAGGGGTATGGCCCACCAAAAGTGAGGGAAGAGTCCCTCCCACACCCTCCGGTCTTAGTAATTAAAGAGAACCATCTGTTACGGAAAAGATATACTTGCTAGTTGTCATATATAATGTTTTAGCACAAGTTTTGGTTAAGTAGCTATGAAGCTTGTACAGACCTCATGTAGTGTTGAAAGCAGTGCACGCAAATTCCCTTCTTTTCCGCTTGACCACTTTTTGATCTCATCATCAGGATTTTCCTCTAATTGCTGAAATTAATACAATTTATTACCAAAATGTAAGAGACAAAACTAACGCATGAAAACTTGTTAATAATTTCTATTGAGTCTAAGTGAGGCCATTACATTTCTCCCAACTTCTTCCGTTTGAGGAAGTAGATCTGGCTTCTCTAATTTTACTGCATATGCCGTTGACAATGATGTGGACTTCACATTATCTGAAAACACGACTTCTTTTTGTTCCTACGAACACCAACAAACAAGTTACGGGGTAATTAATAATCACAAAAACAAACTTCCAAAAACATTGTTTAAATTGGAAATTAATTAGTCCACGCAGTAGACTTATTGATCGTCTCACTTTACGTATATTTTTGGCTTAGATTGTTGTACATTCTAACTGAGGCCATTACATTTCCCCCAGCTTTTTCTTTCTGAGTAACTAGATCTCGCTTCTCTTTTACTTCATATTTTGTTGAAGATGATGTGGAGTTCACATTATTTGCAAAAACGGCGTTTCTTTGTTCCTAGGAACACCAACAAACAAGTTATGAGGTAATTAATGATCACGAAAACAAACTTTAAAAAACTTTGTTTAAACAGGAATTAAATTAATCCATTAGACGTATTGCTTGTATCACTTATGCATATTTTGGGTTAGATTGCTGTTTCGGTGTTTCCAGCCTTAATATTTCAATTGTTTTTGAAACGTTTGTTGATTTTAGATGATACCTGATATTTGAGTGCAGTTTCAATCTTCTTCACGATCAACTCCATAGATGGACGTTCTTTCTGCTCTCTTTCCAAACATTTATGTGCGAGTGTTATGAAGGTGTCAAAAGAATTTTCTTCCATTTGTTGCAGTAGATTAACATCGATAATTGCATCCCTGATTTTATCTTTAGAAGAGTTCTTCACAAATGCAGGTAGGGATCTTCGCATATCATCATAACTATAATCAACACAAAGCCTTGAGCACAAAACTTCAAATAGTACAACCCCGAAAGAGTAGACATCGGATTCTTTTTTGTAAAACGATGTTTCTATAAAAACAGGATCACAATAGCCAAGAGTGCCTTTCGGATCAGAGAAAAGAATCGAGTGTTCTTGGTTGGCAGGGCCATATTTGGAAAAGCCAAAATCTGCAATTTTTGCATTCCAGTTTTGGTCCAACAAGATGTTAGCACTTTTGATATCACGATGTAAGACTCTTTGTTGACCTCCCCTGGGATTGTGAAGGTACTCCAAGCCACGTGCAGCCCCAAGACATATCTTGAGACGTTGAATCCATGAGAACTTGGGGTCATGTAGATGATTGTTCAGGCTATTCTTTGGAGCATACTCATACACAAGGATCCTTTCCTTACTTTGATAGCAGAAGCCGAGGAGTAAGATGATATTTTCATGTTTATATTTGGAAAGCAACATGATCTCTCTCCAAAAATCTGCGTCCCCTTGATTATTTGAAGGATTCAAGCGCTTTACAGCAGCCATGGTTGGACCGTTAGATAGGATTAATTCTCCCCTATACACCTTCCCAAATCCACCTTCGGCAAGGAAGTGGCTGTCACCAAAGTTGTCGGTGGCCTGTTGTATGTATTCAAGTGGAATTTGGAGCTTCTGATATTCAATCATGAACGAGGACATTTTGTTTGTTGTCAAACTACAATGGCGCTTATAATCGGAAGGATTGAGAGAAGTATGCTAATGATACAATTTTTTTCAAGTAACATGATGTATTTAACATAGTGGATGATAATTAGTCAACGCATCCCTCCTGCCCCCAACCATCTTTCTCAAGGACAGAAAAAAAAAAAGAACATTGCATTTTTTAAATCGTTCTATATATAAAATATAGAATTATATAAAACTTGTTGGCAATTCTTTTTTAAAAATTTGTTCTTTAAATATAGTTCATTGTGGACTTGGCTAATAAATGACACATGACATAAGATGGAATATAATCTGACGATGTGGAGTTGATATGATTTTGAAATATAAAAGTATAGGAGACTTTTATGTGGTAATAGATAATCGTTGGAGACTTTTATGTGGTAATTATCTATGGACTCAAATGTCATCGAGATGTTGACATTGTCGATTTACAACTAATACGATCAAGTTATGGGTGTGTTCCACACATAGCTTTTGGGAGCATCTAAATTCTTGTTTTAAGAGAAAAATAACTCGAAAAAAAAAAAGTTTCATTCCACTAATATGGTTGAGACTTCGGAGTTAATGCGGTTGAGCCCGTCTTTGGCCCTTTCCTTTTCATATTTTGGAAATTTTTACAACGTAGTTAGGGACTTTGTTTTTGCCTTTCCAAGAGATGAGTTTTCAAGAAGCAACAACCATCAATGTTTGATGTCTCCTCCAAAGCAAGAACCCGGAAATCTGTCACTTGTTTCTCTAAATTGAATTAGCCCTCTGTACATAGATTGCGGCTAATACTTCTACAATTACAAAACCATAATTTATATGAATTGCATCAAAGTTGAAGCATGTGATGGATCGTTTCACCGTTTTTTAGCTCTTCCGTGCTTCTATTTACCTGTCTATTCGCTACCTAATGTTTTTAAAACCGTTTTCAAACGGGAATCAGGGACAAGAACGGTTCATGTCACACCCCGAAACCGAAGGCGGAAACGTTCCGGGGCGGAGTGACGTCATGCGTAGTATCACAACAGTTGTATCATAGTAAGCATAGTAAACACAACCATTACATTATAATAAGAATATTTACATTGTTCAAAAACATGATTTAGACATATCAGTATATATAGCAAAAGCAAAAGATGTGACTTCAGGATGTTCCATCTTCTCCAAAAGTTGGCAAAAGTACCTGCCTATTGATGTCCTGAGAATACAAGCAGTTTTAAAGAATATCAGCATAAAGCTGGTGAGTTCATAAGCGTTTAGTTCTGGTGAAAGAAAGGTTTCTTTGATCCTTTGAAAAGTGTTTACCAAGAAAATCCCATATTTTCTTATGAAAGATGTTTGGTTATCGATTCTGAAAGAGAAGTACAAGTATCTACCATAGTTGTGTCGTTAGATGTAGTTTCCTTGAAAGACCCTGTTTATTCTCCGTGAGATGTATTAGTCTTATTACAAAAATAGAACTAATAAGTAGGTAGTGAACTAGATCCTAAGGGTATTATCAATACCCTCTAGTAATCAAATCGGTTATTACTTTGAGGTTAGTTCACTAGATTCATTATTACCAAAGTAAATCTCTGTTATCTAGGTTGCGAGTTTCATAACCATACATTAAACTGGATATGGCACGTACGGTGGCCAGTATCATTTTATGACTTTGTCACCCGTAGACCTGACGGTCCCACTGTAGCTAGCAGCGAGGTGCGGGATAGTCAGTCCCGTATAGATCTATACACAATAGTCACGCTCTCCCTCCAAGAGATTCTGGTTACAAGGGTAGTCCTATACTCACGAATCCGGTGGAATGTTACCAAGGACGTGTCTCCAATCCTTAAACTAACAAATTTACAAGTAATAATACAGAAAACCCTGTTTATGGTTGGTATGAATCCTTTGTAAAATATCACAATTTATGACAAGATTCATAAGCTTCGTGCTTTAGTTTTGAAAACTGTTTCTACGAGTTGATTTCTAAATCGAATGGTAAAACGGTTTTCTGCGTTTGAAAGCATACTGAACATGTAATTATTTTAAACAAAATAATATATTTGAGCACAAGTTTCCTTGTACTTTTGCTTGTATTCCCCCCCTGAAAACATGAAAAACTCGGAAAGGTATAGGGGTATGAACTCACTGTTTATCGTAGGATCCGAAAGCAAAGTTATTTACGAGTGTTGAGTGTCAACCGATGTTTCGTACGCGAGTGGATCCTATTATCATGTGATAACACATATACGCATTAGAATTAGAGTGTTTCATGACTAAACATGACGGAAAACCACCCTAAAGACTTGGAAATGCTTGTCGGGACCCTATATGATCAAATAAGGGATGTGTACGACCATTTGGGTGAGTGTGCGGCCAGGGTGTGCGGCCAGGGTGTGTGTGCGGTTGCACATAAGAGTGTGCAGCCGTACAGAGGGTGTGTGCGGCCGTACACTCCTCGTTTGTGTCCGAAATGTCGATTTTGAGGTGTTTTCGAGGTGTTCTTGTGCTAATACCAAGTCCTATTAGTAAATGAAGGCCAAAACTCTTCACTTTGGAGAGTTTAGTGTGTGTGCGGCCACCTTATGAAGGTGTGCGGCTGTACACCTTCAAAGGATGAAGAACACGAAGAACACTATGAGTTTTAGGCTTAGATTCAGGTGTCTTACCACTATAACAAGCTGAATGATGGAGTAGTTCACGTTTTTGAGGCCTTTTGAGTGTTCTTGGATGAAGTTTTTAGAGAGAGAAAGTAGTAGAGTGCAGCCAAAGGAAAGGAATGAGTGAAGGGGTCTCCTCCTTTATATAAGAGGGGGAGTGCGGCTGGAGGGTGGGTGTGCGGCCGCACACCCGTGTGTGCGGCTGTACACACCTCTCATGAGGGTGTATGGCCCGATTTTGTACTACGACTTGGTATTATTCGACCTAGAACTCAACCTTTGATTATACGAGGCTTAGAAAGTATCATTACACCCTAAAATAGTGTTAAATGATGAAAAAAAATCACGATAACATTAACTAATCTTTCAAGTTAAAAGTTTCGGGTTGTCACATTATCCCCCCGTTAGAGGGAATTTCGTCCCGAAATTCGAATATAGAATACAAATCATGCATTAGGGAAAGAGATGTGGATACTTCTGTTTCATCTGATCTTACCGCTCCCAAGTGAATTCCGGTCCCCGTTTGGCATTCCAGCAAACCTTCACTATCGGGATGCGACTTTGTTTTGTTCGCTTGATCTCCCTATCCATGATTTCGATTGGTTCTTCCACAAAGTTCAGATTCTCGGTGATTTCAATCTCATCGAGAGGAATAGCAAGAGTCTCGTCGGATAAGCACTTCTTAAGGTTCTAGACGTGGAAGACGGGATGAATGTTACTAAGCTCTTGAGGTAATCGGAGTTTGTAGGCTACAGGACCGATTCTGGCGAGGATCTCGAACGGTCCTATGTACCTCGGGTTTAGCTTTCCACGCTTTCCGAAGCGTATCATGCCTTTCCAGGGTGAGACTTTTAGCAGGACACGGTCTCCAACCTGGAATTCCAAGGGTTTTCGTCGTTTATCGTCGTAGCTATTTTTTCTATCTCGAGAGGCCTTAAGTCGTTCTCGGATTTGTACGATCTTTTCTGTGGTTTCGCGGATGATTTCTGGACCAGTGAGAGTGCTGTCAGGGACTTGTCCCTTGGCTAGCTGCGTGTCGCCCATCTCAGCCCAGCACAGAGGGGATCTACACTTGCGGCCATAGAGGGCTTCGAAAGGCGTAGCCTTGATGCTGGTATGGTAACTGTTGTTGTAAGAAAATTCAACCAAAGGAAGATGAGTGTCCCATGATGCGCCAAAATCGATGACGCAGGCTCTCAACATGTCTTCCAAGGTTTGGATGGTTCTCTCACTCTGTCCATCTGTTTGAGGATGGTAAGTTGTGCTCATATCCAGCTTAGTTCCAAGAGCTTTCTGAAGTGACTGCCAGAACCTCGAAGTGAACCTGCTATCTCGATCGGAGATAATGGACACAGGCACACAATGCAGTCGAACTATCTCTTGGATGTAGATTCGCGTGAGCCTCTCCATTTTGAAGCTTTCCTTGATCGGTAGGAAGTGAGCGGATTTAGTCAGTCGATCGACTATCACCCAGATGACGTCGTACCCACTCGGGGATTTGGGTAATTTGGTGATGAAATCCATAGTAATCCTTTCCCACTTCCATTCGGGAATTTCCGGCTGTTGGAGTAGACCTGAGGGTTTCTGATATTCGATCTTCACTTTGGCACAAGTCAGGCACTTGCCCACGAAGGTAGCGATCTCTGCTTTCATGTTCGGCCACCAATACAGTTTCTTGAGATCGAGGTACATCTTGTCTGAACCTGGGTGAACGGAGTATTTAGTCTTGTGAGCTTCGTTCATTACAACCTCTCTGTACCCACCGAACTTTGGGGTCCAGATCCGGTCCACGAAATAATAGACTCCGTTTTCCTTGATTTCTAGGTTCTTTTCCATTCCTCTTAAGGCTTCACCCGGTATGTTCTCTGGTTTTAAGGCTTCCAACTGAGCCTCTCTGATTTGCGCGGATAAGTGGGAATGGATAGTCATGGTCAGTGCCTTCACTCTACGACCTGAGTACTCTTTTCGGCTGAGGGAATCTGCCACCACATTGGCCTTGCCGGGATGGTAGCGGATTTCGCACTCATAATCACTAAGTAGCTCGACCCAACACCGTTGTCGCATGTTCAGCTCCTTCTGGTCGAAGATATGCTGCAGACTTTTATGGTCAGTGAAGATAGTGCACTTGGTTCCGTAGAGATAATGTCTCCATATCTTTAATGCGAAGACCACTGCTCCCAACTCTAGGTCATGCGTTGTATAATTAACTTCGTGTGCTTTCAGCTGTCTTGAGGCATAAGCAATGACTTTTCCCCGTTGCATGAGCACACAGCCTAGGCCCTTATTGGATGCATCACAGTAGACAACGAAGTCCTCCGTCCCTTCGGGCAGGGACAAAATAGGTACGCTGCATAGGGCCCGCTTCAACGTTTGGAACGCAGTGTCTTGCTTTTCACTCCAACAAAAGGGTACGCCTTTCTGAGTCAGAGTGGTTA